GGAAAGTTACAGCTCCAATGATGAATTTCTTGTCATTTCATTTTGCCAAAAAGTTTGCTTGAATTTCTAATTTTGAATGGAATTGTGCTAAGAGAAGGATGTAAAGGAAAAAATGAAAATAAAAAGAATAAAGAATAAACAGTTGAAGGGAGTGGGTGGGTCGGGTATGGGTTTGTAAAGATAAATGAGTATAAACGGGAAGGGAGGGGTCAAAAAAATGGGCATGGGTCAAAGAAATGGGCATGGATCTTTAATATTTGGGTTAATATTTGCCTAGTTGGCAGTTTAAGAGAAGGGTCCCACTGTCACGGTGGACTTCTGTTAGAGTTAGGGATGATTTTGTCTACTTTACTAACGGTAGGCGTATATTTGGACCGAAAGTAGAAACGGGTATAAATGTGACTAATTTTCGATAGTATAGGGACAATTTTGGCCATTTCCCCTATATAATATGTGTATAATCGTGTGTTGTCGGTATATCATCTATTTATATTAGCTATAAAAATTATACAATAAATATGGCCGGATATTATGTAAATATTCCATAAGATTTCAGTTTTTTTGAGTTTATCCATGATATAACTTCTATTATAATAATTTTAAAACTCTCTACTAATGTTAAAAAATATCTTATCTTTTCATTATCTTTGAAGTAAAAAAGGTGAAGAGTTTTTTCGAAATAATTTGTTTACATTTTATAAAAAATCACGTCATACCGATTTTTTTTATATATATACTCTTTGTTACACTTAAAAGTCGCTGTAGAAATTATCAATTAGAAACCAATTTCTCTCTTGTTGAGTTTGAAAAAATAAACTTTCACATAATCTAATGATTCAAAACTAATATTTTTCAATGAAAAAAATATTATACCCTTGCAATATTGGCTTAACTACAGCTAAATGAAAAGGTTCAGCTTATACCGTTCAATTCCTTGAATGTGCTAAATTGAAATTAATGATAGCAATTGTATAACCAAAGTTTTGTTATTTGTTTGATGTCCATTTATGCAAATTGACTCTTCAAACAAATATTCTTCAAGAAGAAGAAAAAATATATTTTTTTAATATTGACTGATTTTGTGATGTTTCTTTCTCCAACATGTATGTTTACTTTATTATATATGTAAGTAAACTTTTATTTGGTTTTGTAAACTCTTTTTTGTTATTTGGATAAACATAGATATGTACCCTATATATTATATTTTTTTTAAAAGAAATTCATTTTATTCAAATCTAGCTACAGTGTTTCAAAGAACTATACTTATACGGTTTTAAATATGAAAGAGTTTTATAGTTATATGGAGTAGTTTTCTTTTTTTGGCTAGAGGCGAAGTAGTATTTAAAAATTAGAAAAATAACAAAAGTTCCTAACATGATTGCATATGATCATTAACCGAATTAAGTATGATAACATGATAAAAAAAGATAAATTTTATTTTTAATTTAAATTCTAATTTTAAAAATTTATCTATAAATTCAAAATTATATTTTAATTCAAATTCCGTATATATCATATCATATCATATCATATCATCTATCATCTACTATACTAAAAGTAGGAACACCTCCAAGTCAAAAGTTGATTTACAATTTTACCCATTAAAAACTAATTGACCATTTTGCCCTTCAATCAAACATTACTTTAAAATATTTTTGTTTAAAAATGTAAATACACAATCAAATAATTAAGAAATTTAATTGAGAAAAACAAACGTAATACCCCTTCATTTGTCAGCTTTTACACCCTTTTGATCTTCTCTATATTTTTATCCGTTTTGGGTTTTTTCCTACTTTTTGTTATTTTATTTATTTTATTGTGAGAATAAATGTTTTAGTTATTACCCCTTAAATGTTTTAGAAAAAAATTAAACGTCTTCTAATTACTACAAAAACCTTTCTACTTCCTCCATGTATGTATGTATGTATGTATGTATATATATATATATATATATATGTATTTAACTAAAATAGTCAAATATAGAATAAAGTTACCATATACTATTGACATTTATTAGCTTGCCACTTGACTTAACCATAATGTCAATTATATATGGTAACTTTCTTGCTTTAATATATATATAGATATAGATATTTGATGTCATGCTAATTGGCAAGTCTATATCAAATAAGTATCTCTTTCACCAGTGTATGGTCTGGCAATATTTTCATACACGAAGCATCTTGCGTTCATCCAGAGTCCGGGGAAGGACCGCATACCAAGGGGATGTGATGTAGGCAGCCTACGCTAATATCGGTGGCTGATTCCACAGCTCGAAGCCTCGAACCCATGACCTATAGGTCATAGAGAGAATTTTACCGTTGCTCCAAGGCTCCCTCCTAATTTTTTACAGCAAAGTTTGATAATTTAATTTTGATTACACATGATAATTTAATTTTATTTGAAACTATTTGATCATTATACTTGTGGTTTAGTACGAAACGAATTACACAACCACTGCTAAATTTTCTTGAGTTGCAAATGATAAACATAAAACATTAGTTTTTCAGTTGATAAAATTCCAATTCATCATACGAATCCAAGATTCCGATCACTAGGGAAGTTCGGAATTGATTGTGTATAGAAAATCTCATCTTTGTGACAACTCTGTATTCAATTCAAAGTTATGATTTCCTTGCAGTCTCGTATTGAAGTTAAATAACTGGTTGATTACTTTATTTCAAGGCTCCTATCATTAGGGACGTTTGGAACTTGATTGTGTAAATAAAAATTTGAGAGTTATGATTTCCTTATAGGCTCGTATTTAAGTTAAATAAACTGTTTCATAATTCAGTATTTTGCTTGAATTGATAGAAAAGGTTGACTTTTTGTCTGAACTTCATGTTGAAACGATGAATAGAGATCAAAGACCTAAGCTACATGTCTTGAAGAGTGGTGACCATCCTTCGTCAGAAAATTACACTGCATAAATAGGTAAAATATTAGGTTTTAGAGGTATAAAACATATACTGAATAACTTTTATGGGGAACTTTTTTCACTTCTTTTAAGGAAATTCCTAACTTCGCCACTAATAATGAAATTTGAAGTACTTAACAAAGTTGAAACTGCTTCTTGTTGTAGTTTCAGGGGTCTAAGATCACACAAGTGTTAGCATGAAACGTCTATGCAGATCGTCTGATAAACATGTACGTTGGTTGTCTGAGGATATCATAATTGAAATATTACATTGTTTGCCTTCTAAATCTTTGGCAAGGTTTGAATCTGTATGTAAGCAGTGGAGGAAGTACATTGCTGATCCATCTTTGGTTTATAGTTGTCGTTCTCAACGACGATGGAAGCCGCCTCAAATGATAGGTTTCTTTTGTCAAGATAGAGAGCTTTCTAAATGTTCAGATATTAGCTTTTTCTTCTCATTGGAGAAATCTTCGGAAGTGATTGATGGTATTTTAGATGAATCGGTCAAATTTCTTGGCAGGGGAGTCTACATTATTGCATCATCTAATGGTTTCATTCTTGTCGCTGAGGATTTATGGTATGAGAGAGTTTATTATGTTTATAATCCTTTAACGAGGCAACATGTTGCAGTTCCTGTAACTAAAACCAGCTGCATAGACCGCGTAGCTGTTGGATTTCTTTGCAAGGTAGATGACCCTGAAAAAGATGTGATCTCATTTACTATAGTTCGTTACAAAATTTGGTTTGGTTTTCGTTCTAGTGTAACAATCTCACGCTAGATGTACCTCTCCAAGTATTCCAATTTAGTTGGACGAATATCACATCAGTTGGAGTCATCAATGGAGTGTTCTGTTGGATTGGCTTGGAAGCACAGATCATTTTTTATGATAGTGTCAAAAAGTGTTTTTGGGGTTTGCAATTGCCCGAAGAGATGAACGACGGAGACAGTTACGTACTTGGAATATCGGGTGGGGCTCTATAATACGCGTTGTATAAAGAGGGAGAGATTATTGTGTGGTGCCTTGATAGCAATATTCGAAGTCGAGATGCAATAAGGATCAGGAAATATGCTGCAAATATCAGGAAATTGCATTAGGGTATCAAATGGGCAGGTTAGGACGGTTTTAGGCGGGTTAAAATGGGTTGAGCAGTAATTAGGCGGGTTATTTTGAGCTAAAATGAGTTGGGTTAAGATTGGGCTAAACTTTGGGTCATAGCCCAACCCGTCCAACTCTTATCAAGCTTTACTTAATATGTGTTGTTATCTTATGAATTGTATAATTACTAAATAAGATATTTTCCCCTTTGTTATGGTTATATATAACATATTAAACAAAAAAAATATTTCTAAGGTATTTTTAGGTTGAGATGGGTTAGATCAACATCGATTGAGTTCAATAAATGGACGGGGTCAATAACCAGCCCAATCTTGAGCGGGTTGGACAGGTCATTTGGGTATTGACTAAATTTGACAGCCCTATATTGCATACAACTTAACAAATCTGATACAAGCATATGTTGTTTCCGACATATGCCTTAGCAAAGATTCTAAGGCAATTAATTTGGAGAAAGAATAAATATTTTTTAGATATTCAAATTATACCACAAGATTTTATGTCCTTTTTTTTCAGCTAGTAATTAATTCTCCTTATATACCAACCAACCTGACCCTAACGTTGTGAATGGTGTGAGATCACCGGAATTCATATACTCGTAGGGATTGTTTGGTACGCGGGATAAGGTGAAATAAAGTGTAGTACTAAATGTATGTTGAGTTTGATTGACGGTATAAATTTATCACTGACTTAATCCTAGACATCCCATCTTATACCTCCTTATCCAATTAAACTTGGTATTATTTTATCTCACCTCCTAGGTGAAATAAATTACTCCCGGGATTATAAACTACAATAACAAAATAATTTAATCTGCATACCAAACGAACCATAGAGGTTTGGCAATTGGTTCAATTACTTCCGCCAAAAATCATATTTTCGTACATGCATCGCATGATGTCTAAATTTCAATTAGGCCATGAATGACACAAAGCATAAAACATAGGACATGTTATTAATATAGCAAGTAGCCACTGATAATGCAATGTTGTAATTATTTATTTTTCCCGTGGAAACAGTTTCATAACCTCCTCAAACCCATAGACAGAAATTAAAAGGAGTTTCTTTTTTCATTTTTCTTTTTTACTTCTTGCCCCTTTTATACAACTTGCATACTACAACACAAACACAAGCAAAATAAAATGACAAAAAAAAAACACCTAATATTCAAATAAACATCTATACTTGCACGACTTTGTCTTCCCGGTCCTTTAACTTTACGTGTTTTCAACCAGACACTTGATCCGCGCTAGACGTTAATTTCAAAGGGCGAGGAGAGTAGTAGTAGCAGCAGTAGTAGTAGATTGAGGTGGATTAGTAAGCAAATGAACAACTTCTCTCATAGTAGGCCTAGCACAACTTTCCTCTTCAACACACATCATAGCAATCTTGAACAAGTTTATTACACTCCCAATAGGATAACTGTGTAGCCTTGAGTCAACAACTGCTAAAACTGAAGCTGCATCGGACGGCTGAGATAATTCTGATATTGTTTTATTAACCCATCTCACTATATCTACACCGTCCCCAAATTCACCAACTGGTTTGTGACCTGTGATCAATTCCAACAGTACAACTCCAAAACTGTACACATCGCTTTTTTGGTCAACTTTCAACGTGTATGCGTACTCTGTTTTTCACATCCAAACAAAATTTAGCTCAGAACTACATTAATGACTGAATTTAATGTTTGGACAAAGTTTTAAATAGATTTTGTCCTGGTACTATATATAGCTTTACTCCCTCCACCCCCTTTAACCCCACAATTCAGTAAATTCCAAAATTTTTACTGTTCTTGGTCTTAGTGTGTGAAGTGTCTAGGACTAAACCTTGCTATTTTTATGAATAGCAAAACATTGACCAATAAAAAAGGACTTCTCAATGTTACATAAAAGGGCATTATTATAGCAAGATATTTAGTAGTAGTATTTTTAAAGGTTACTAATTGGAGTGATTTTTATAACTAAAATCACTAGTAATGACATTATAAATTGTGTAAATATTTCTTATATTATTAGTGTACAGAACCTAAACTCATAAAAAAAATTGAACTTATGAGACCGACAAAGAAAATAGTTTTTACACTATGAAGCTATTTGAAACAAATTTCACGTAATATTCGTAGCAAAACACAGTTTGATATCATGCAAATTACGGTAAGTAATCTGTTATAACATGTGAAACTATACTAATGTCGTAAAGAACTGTTGATTTGCTAGTATATATAATTTAAATCCTAATAAAAAAATTTGGTAAATTATTAAGTGGATAGACTAGAAGATCCAAGTCCAAGTCTCAAATATGAAACAACTTAGGTTGATGTTTTTCCAATTGGATCTTTATTTTCAACCAAAATTTCATTTTTTTCTAAAATAATACTAGAAAAATAACAGAAAACAAAGGGTGGTTATTTACCTGGTGCAATGTAACCATATGAGCCAGCAATAGAAGACATGCATTCAGATGCACCAGCATCTTGCAAGAATTTGGCTAAGCCAAAATCAGCAACATGAGCTTCATAATCAGAATCCAGCAGAATATTATTCGACTTAACATCCCTATGAATAATTGAAGGCGAACAATCATGGTGCAAATAACACAATCCCTTTGCAGCTTCAACAGCAATACGATACCTCGTCTCCCACCTCAAATGTGCCCCTTTTGCACCATGTAACATGTCCCCTAAGCTACCATTCGACATGTACTCGTACAACAGCACGTTTGTATCCTTGTTCGAGACATATCCTAGTAATCGTACGATGTACCTGTGCTTGATTCTGCCTAGTGTTTGGATTTCAGCTGAGAAACCATGATCGTGGTGTCCGGTTCCTCTGCCTACAAGTTTCTTTATTGCAACGTCGATGCCATTTGGCATTGACCCTCGATACACTACCCCAGCTCCACCTTTTCCAATTATGTTCTCTTCTTTTAAACACTCCAAAACATCCTCAGCTCTGAAATCAAGTTTCTGGAATGCTGTTAGCTTCCAAATCTTTGAATTTTTGAACTTTTCCTTCTTGACAAACACCCACGTAACAGCCAACAGCAATGCAACAGTGACTAAAATGATTATTATAACAACCAATTGTGTAGTGGTAAATTTCCCAGAATGGCTTTTGTGGGAGTTTTGAGCTGAGTTTGAAGCTGAGGGACAAAATGTAGCACGGGGCGAACAGAGTTTAGGATTTCCTACAAAAGACTTGTCACTGAAGAATTTTAACTGTCCGTTGGTCGGTCTCCGCCCAGAAAGATCATTGTAAGAAAGATCCAAAACTGTTAAACCACTCATCACTCCAATATCTCCAGGAATGGCACCATTCAGTTGGTTTCGCGACAGGTTGAGCACGTTCAAGCTGTCTAATTTGGTGATCTCTTTTGGAACTTCACCAGCCAATTGGTTTCTGCTCAAGTCAATTAATGTTAGTTCCGAGCAGAGAGCAATGGAACTCGGGATTTCACCTGTTAAATTGTTGCCACTCAAGTTGATGGTCACAAGTTTCTTTAAACTCGCAATTTCTTGAGGAATTTCACCAGATAATCTGTTTTTATCAAGTGACAAAGTCACTAAGTTCTTCAAGTTCCCAATAGATGGAGGAATATTTCCAGTAATCCAGTTGTTAGAAAGCACAAGACTCGAAAGATTATTCGCGTTGATCTCCGTTGGTAACTGCCCCGTGAAATAGTTGTTATCAAGTTCAAGCATATCCATTAGAGGAAACTTGAAAAAACCAGCTGGAATAGTACCATTTAGGTAATTCTTCCTAACACGAATTCGAGTCAACGATGTGCACTCACCAAGTTGTTCAGGAATTGGACCAAAGAAATAATTTTCCATTAGAATTAAAGTCTTCAACTTTCCACTTTTACACAAATCAGGAGGTATTCTTCCAGTAAAATGATTGCCAGTAACATCCAGTTTCAATAACCTCCCATTACGGCCAAGATTTTCGGGCAATTCCAGGGTAAAATTGTTGCCCCAAATCTGCAACACTTCAAGATTTGGAAGATCTCCAATAAACGGGGGAATCGGACCGTGCAAGTTGTTCTTGAAAAAGTTTATCAATGTCAAATTCTGCAACTTCACGAAACTCTCTGGTATTTCTCCAGTGAGTTGGTTAATGGACAGGTCTAGAGACATCAAGCTCTTTAAACCAGAGAGTTCAGATGGTATGTGACCTGCAAGGAAGAGACGAATCCAAGATTTAAATTTAACGAGTTCAAGATTCTAAGCTTATTGAAAGTAATAGCTCATAACCTAAAATATACTACAATATTTTTCAAGTCAATTCACATATCATCTATGATACTATTAAGTGAAAAAAAAGTGAGTTGGTTAATGGACAGGCCAATTGACATTAAGCTCTCCAAACCATATAGTTCAGAAATGAATTCAGAATTTAAATTTAAAGAGCTCAAGATTCTATGTTTATAGGAAGTATGAGCTCAAAACTTAGTATTTACACAATATTTATTGAGTTTTTTCACATATAATTTATAGTGCGATAAAGTGATAAAATGGTGAGTTGGTTAATTGACAGGTCAATTGACATTAAGCTCCGTCTCCAAACCAGAGACTTCAGAGACGACGAACTCAGAATTTAAACTTAACGAGCTCAAAATTCTATGTTTATTAAAAGTATGAGCTCAAACCTTAGTATTTACACTATTTTTATGAGTCTTTTCACATATAATTTATAGTACTATTAAGTGAAAAAATGGTGAGTTGGTTAATTGAAAGGTCAACTGACATTAATCACTCCAAACCACAGAGTTTGGAGACGAACTCAGGATTTAAACTTAACGAGCTCAAGACTCTATGTTTTTGACATAAACAGCAATAATTTAAGTAAAAAAATGTTGTTTTCAAACCAATACCTGTAAGACGGTTGGCATGTAGAAACAGAGAATGCAACTTCTTCAAATTTCCAAGACTAGGAGGAATTTCACCATCAAGATTACAATTAGCAAGATCAAGAAGCTTAAGTGTACTAATAGAGCCAAACTCAGTTGGAATTCCACCTTCATAACTATTAAAATAACCCAACCTAAGTTCTTCAAGATTTGGAAGCAAAGCCAAACTCTTTGGTATTTTTCCAGTAAGTGAATTACCCTGTAAACCTAACCATAGTAAACTTTCAATATGAGAATAAGCTTCTGGTATTTCACCATGAAAATAATTTCCTCCAAGATGTAAAGTCTTTAGCTTTTTAAGTTTCACAAACTCAGTAGGAAGCTCACCAGTAAAATTATTATTATAAATATCAAATGATTCAAGTTCTATTAACCCCAACAAGATTTCTCTAGGAAAAGGACCAGAAAAACTGTTATTTGAAAGATTAACGTATTTAATAGAAGAAAGTTTGGATATTTCTAAAGGGAGTGTACCAGTTAAGTTATCTCCAAACATAATAAGATTTTCAAGTTTGTCTAAAAGACCAATTTCAGGTGGAATTGTACCAAACAAAGGAACATTAGAAATGTTCAAAGATATAACACGTAAATCATTATTACATGTAATACCAGAGAAAGAACAATAATGAACAAAAGTGGAAGTTGAGGAATTTGTTGTGATATTTTTCCAGTCATTAAGACCAGAACTTGAAATACCAACAATGGATTCTTTGAGTTTTAAAAGGGTTTCAAGATCAGAGTATGCATTAATGGTGAAAGGAAAAAAGATGAAAATTTGGAAGAGAAGGAGAAAGGAAGCAGCAGACATGTTTACACTGTTAGCTTTCTTTGGTTTGTACGAATTTTAGAATAGGCTTAGGCTATTTGAAGTATAAGTATTTACTACTGTTTGCACTTTGCCAAAGTGGTAGGAGAATCAAACGCTGTATTACCACTAATTAACCTTTTTGGTTTGAAACAAAGTGAAGATACGAGATGGTTTTTACATACTACTATTAATCATATATTATACTTCATTCGTTTCAATTTTGCGAATCTATTTGACTGGCAAGATATTAAGAAAAAAGAAAAAAAATTTAAACTTGTGGTAAACTAAGGCACATATAATTCGTGTATTTATAAATCGTTGCATAAGTTTCGAAATACGGAAAGTGATCATTCTTCTTGGCATCCATTAAAAGGGAAATAAATTCACATAAATTGAAACGGAGGAGTACTAAATTAGTGTTAGCTTTGGTGAAATTTCCTTTTTAAGTTGTTCTTTCTTACTTCTTAGCTTCCTTTTGGATGTAGATTTTTGTTTTTAAAAGTTTTTCCAAAAAAATTTGAAAACATTATTTGTTCATAGAATTTAATCAGTTTTGAAAACTTTTTATAGAAATAATTTCAAGTTACAAAAATTGATTTTTGGGTAAAACTATTTACTTCTATTCATAAAACTTCAACTTTTTTCAAGTGAATTACAAATCCAAAAACAACCTGATCATCCAAAAACAGTGGCGAAGCCAATTGGTCATTGATCACCCTTTGTCGAAAAATTATACTATATAATAGATAAAATATCACGTTTTAAATGTACATAAAATATATTGAACATCTTTTGTCGTATTTTTTTTCACTTTGTTCAAATTTGGACACCCTTAAAAAAATTTAGCTTCGTCACTATCCAAAAAATACTTTGCAACATACTATCAGAAGTTTCAACTTTCAACCAAATAAAATCTTTAGGCACTGGATAGGTGATTTGATCAACATGGTGAATAATTTGGGAGGATAATTATTAAAAAGTAATTTACAGAATTCATTTGTCTAAGTAAAATGATTGTAGCAGCGGACTTTAAACGCAATGACAAGAAATGGTTGGAGAAGAAACAATGTTAAATTTCTGACGGCTTCTGTCATTGCGTCAAAGATCAACTTTAAACGTTCTTTGATGATTGACGGTTCTGAGCCTGTCACGAGAGTCAGTAATATAAAAACTTACTTCAAATTACACTATATTACTTTCTGCGTTACCGTGTAAAAACTTATTTTGATTCGGTATTTTTGGTATTCGATCTTTTAAAATACAAGATCAATATCATATTTGATTAAATTCTGTATGATTCCATTTTTCTCTTTTCGATTTCGAACTTTTTGGTTTGGTAATTTCGATTTATTCGATTATAATACTAACTAGTGCATAGAGTCATAGAATGTAATATTATGAATTAAAGTACTTAAAAGTACAAAACTAAAAACATACGTTGGCATAAGTTTTGTCCAAAACTAGCAAATATCAACTTAGAGAGAGAAAACTATACATAAAAAAAAACTTTGATCATTAAAAATATTTTATTACTTACATTGAGTTAATTGATGAACTTAGAGAATAAAGTAAAGTAAAATTTTAGATTTTATATTTATGTTATAATTAATAATATATGTATTGTATAATATAATATATATTTCAGTATGGTATGGGCATTTCAATAATTTATTTTAAAATACCAAATACCATACCTAATACCAATATTTTTTAAAACTTAAATCATATACTCTACCGAATACCAAAATATCGAATACCAAATACCAATTTTTTTTATTTCGATACGGTAATTAGGTATTTATCAAATTATGCACAACCCTACTCCATTCCATAACAAGTGACTTTTTTACCTTTTATTTTATCCAAAATAAGTGACTTCTACATAATTACGAAGAAATTACCTTTTTCAAACTTTCATATTTATAAATTTTAATATGTCAAGTTAACAATATACTAATTTAAATTAAAGATAATTTAGTCAAAAGATATTTTTTTTAGGAGTTAGTATTTTTTTTTTAAAGGGTGTATCAAATGCTAAGAAGTCATGTAGCAAAGAGAATAGTTTATTTGACTAATTGATAAAATGATGTGATGATGCCTTGGAGTAATTAATTATGATATAATAATCACTCAACTTCCTAGATACCACAGAAAATTAAATAAAACATTTTTGTTATAAGAATAAGGCTGCCTAAGAATAAAATTCATTCAATTTTGACAAATGATCACATCAAGTGGGGAGCACCCTTCAAGTGGGTTGCTTGAGTGGCGAGAACCTTTCACTTCCGACCAATAGGTTATAAATTCGAATTATTCAAAAATAAGGTGAGGAATTCTTAAAGGAACAAAAAAAAATACAACAAGTTCCTAATTTTTTTTTTTATATCACAAAGTCATTAACTTTGTTTAAGTAGCATATAGTATGTTCATTTGATTTTATCTTAGTGACTTTTTGTGATACTTAGACAAATGAGGTAATATTTTGATTAAAACGTAGATTAGTAACTTTTATGATTTAATTTTTCAAAAAAAAAGTAGCAATTTAATGACAATAAAATTCAAGTTGATTGATGTAATGATCCGGACGGTCGATTCATGAATTACTGTTCCGTTTTTCCTATTTCTGCTTCTTTATGTCTTGTTCAGTCGTATTGTATGGTATCGAGTGGGTTGGTCCGAGTTCGGAATGGTTTTGGAGAGGTTAGAGACACTTAGTCTCTTAAGTTGGACATTCAGTTGGAAAAGTCAACACGAAATTGACTTTTGAGTAATCGATCTCAGAATTTGGGTTTTATGATTCGGATAGCTTCGTGAGGTGATTTGGGACTTAAGAGTATGATCGGAATGTATTTTGGTGGTCCGTGGAAGATTTAGGATTGAATTGGTGAAATTGAAATTTTGGTGTTTTTCGGTTAGTAGCGAAGATTTTGAATTAGGGGTCGGAATGGAATTCTGGGAGTTGCAATAGGTTTGTTGTGTCATATGGGATGTGTGTGCAAAATTTCAGGTCATTTGGACGAGGTTTGATGGACTTTTTGATTGAAAGCGGAATTCGGATGTTTTGGAGTTCTTAGGCTTGAATTCGTAGTTGATTTCTTGTTTCGATGTTGTTTTAGGTGTTTCGAAGATTGGTATAAGTTTGGATGGTGGTATATGACTTGTTCGTACTTTTGGTTGAGGTCCTAGGGGCCTCGGGGTGATTTCGGATGGTTGACGGGAGGTTTGGAGTTGGAAATTTGCAGCTGAAGTTGCTGAAGCTCCTGTCATAACCGCACCTGCGGCTTAGGGACCGCAGATGCGGAAGTGGGCGAGAGGAGCTGGAACCGCAGATGCGGATGTTTGAGCGCACCTGCGATAGCGCAATTGAGCGATTTTGATCGCAGGTGTGGTCCTTGAACGGTTAAGTGAATTCCGTATATGCGCACTTGGGACCGCAGGTGCGAGATTTCGATTGCAGAAGTGGTTTAGCTAAGGTAGAACATATAAATTTGGCCCGTCGCGATTTTTGAGTAGTTTATCAACATTTTCATGCGGGTCTGTGCTTGGGAGAGCAATTTGAAGAGAGAATTCAAGAGGGCTTCGTAGAGGTAAGATTTTTGGACCCTAAACTTGTTTCTATGATGGTTTTTGACGGATTAAGCTTTAAATCTATGAAAATTAGTAGCAAAAAAATTGGAGGCTTCGGGCTTGGAAATTGGAGACCTTAATCTAGGGATTTAAGGGGTCATTTGTGGTCGGATTTTGGTATTTTTGGTATGTATAGCCTCGTGGGATGATAAGGATTTTATTGATGTAAATTTTATCGGATTTCGAAACGTGGGCCCGGGTGTCGGGTTTGGCCAATTTCGGATTCCTTGGTGTCATTGGATTATTTTCGGATGGGCTTCGTTCCCTTAGCATATTCTGATTTTGGGTAGATTCAACATGAGTTGAGGCCGAGTCGAGAGGTAATGGTGTTGCGGAGTAGTGTTTCATCCGTTTTGAGGTAAGTAACCATTGTAAATCTGAACTTGAGGGTATGAAACCCCGGTATTTCGTATTGTTTTAATAAATGAGGTAACACGCATGCTAGGTGACGAGCGTGTGGCATGCACCGGTAGGGATTGTGACTTGGTTCGTCCCGTAGCGACTATTAAGTCGTGTATTTGATTTGAAATCTTATGATATCCCGTATTTTAGAGATTGATACTATATGTTGGGTTGTACGCCATCTTTGGGCTTTGTGCCGACCTGTTTAGACCCTTAGGGGTATTTTTATTACTTTTCCTCACTCTGTTCGATTTGAAAGCATATCCTCAATTATGTTTTACATGTTATTTGTTTAAAACCGATTTCATCACTCTATTTTTTAAAATATGAAAAAATTGTTTGGGTTGAGTTCCCTGACTTTTATTGATACGCCCGAGTGGCCGTGAGGTTAATGACTAAGAAAGGTTTAGGACCTAATGGTGATGAATATATATCTATTATGGATCAGGCTGCACGCCGCAGTATATTGGATCGGGCTGCACGCCGCAGCGATATGACGATTGGGTTGTATGAGCCCCTCCGAATTCTGTACACCCCAGTGAGCGTAGTTGGCTACAAATTATGGAACGGGCTGCTCGCCGCAACGATTATTATCATTATTATGACTATGATATATTTATTGAGCCGGAGTGCTAAGTATGAGTACTGTGTGACGAGAGCTGAGTCACGAGTGACTGAGAGGCTTGCCCGACGGGCTATACTTATGAGTGATACCTTGCCCGAGGGGATTGTTTGTGACATTTTTATGTTTCACTCTTCTTTTATACTAAGCCTCTTTTGAAAAAATTCGAATAAATGTTTTCAAAGGATTTTGAGCCGAAACTAGAGTTTTATGAGATAACTGGCTATTAAATTGCAGAATTTGACTTGATATTTCTGTTTAGACTTCTTATGTGATTTTAAATGCTTGTCACTGCACTCAGACTTTATTTACTTTAGTTACTTACTAAGTTGGCATACTCACGTTACTCCTTGCACCTTGTGTGTAGATCAAGGTGCCCGAACATTAGAGTGAGAGCTTTCAGCACTCTCAGAGCTTTACCGGTGACTGCAAGGTAGTT